TCCCATAGCGTGAAGCGCCGGCTCGTGGGAGCAACATGTATATGACTTCCACACGACAGGTTCGATTCCGATAGCGCAGGACAAAGCCAGAAAAGATCGTCCATGGCTGTCCAAAATGCTTCAATTTCCTTCTCCCAACACGATGATACTTCCAATTTGCGCGACACAGCCTCAAGCGCAACTGTAACGAATGGTTTAGCAGTCTGGTTCTTGATAGGTAAGGCAGTTAACCATGCTCAAATGAGATGTAAATTGTCATACCCTCGTGATCCTCTGCTTTTAGAGATCCATCTCTTGTTATATACCAAACATTGTAGTCAGTGCCCTTTCTCCTATTCCGTCTATTCCAATCGGCTCTAATATCGTAACATCCGGTGAGTCTCCGAGCAAGCGCCTCGTAATGCTGAACCTCATATGGGCGATATTTTCTTGGCAAGACTACCCTTTCAATCTCGATTCCAAAACTAAGAGGAGGATCGCAATGTCCAGCGGTATTGACCATCTCGGAAAAATTCCGTGGATTTTGACAACGTCACAATTGGGAAGTCAAGAACACAGCTGGGTCATATAATTGACTTCAAGGACCATGGTAGTCAATGCTCTAAAGTTATCCCGTTGCGCAAATCTTTAGGTGGCGCGGGACGCGATCCTTGCTTTGTCAGTGTACACAAAACTGCCTGATGCCGCAGAGCCTTGTATCGCAGACTTTGGCGACGTGGCATCTGTCTTTCTCCAAGAGCAGGACAGAATGAGGCGAGATGGCTTGAATTGTACATTTCTATTCGATGGAAACTCGTGTCCATCCACCTCCCACAACCTGCATGGAACCTGGGCAGATAGGAGAAAGATTGCCAGCGATGTATATTCAGCCTCGAGGCTTCCCATGGCATCAGGCTGTATCTTTTGAGTCATCAGCACCTGGCGTCTAGTTGTAAAACGTGTATGATCATATCTGGATCACTGAAGTGATTGTGGTGCAGACTGCATGGTCGATATTATGCAAGTTCGAAACTTGAGAGCTAAACAGGGCGTATTTGCAATCCTCGAACAGTTGGGCTTGCATTAGCCCGCCGTTTGAGCAAGTATCCCGGGCGCTGCCCCCGATGAGGCTACCTTTCAAGTTGACCAGCTCTTGATATTCCACAAGGTGTGCTTACAAATGCATAGACGTGATAGTCATTGTACAGTATACTAGTCTTAATTCGTTTACCGGGGCTACACTCACACCAACGCTCCGCCTGAAGCCTTTCAAATCAGTAGCAAAACAGTACGCATTTGACCGCGAACTTTGAGCCGACCTTCATGCCCAGGGCTCCTTCTCACTCATCATCTTGAAACTACTGGGCAGATGTTCATCAATTTCCAGAAGCTTTGCACTGCTCCTCAATTTCGTCCAGAACCGGGCAACCTCTGTAGCCTTTCCATTGTGAGAGACATGATATGGGGCTGAAGAGTTTACAAGATTCTGCACCACTTGTTAGCCGTAGACTGCTTGTGATTTCATGTGCTGCCATACCTCTTGCAGTGCCAGGGCAACGAACGTGACAGCAAAAGACAGCCAAGCCAGCGTCCTCACATGCCCGCGCATATGCCGGCCACCACGAAACTCAACTGTGTAGGTTGGCGGATGCCCAGCGGTTGGTCTTCTTGCCAAATTCTGGAAATTCCAAAGTGTCCTTCTGCTCTTCCCATCTTCCCAACTCCCTTGCATGTATACCACTAACTGACTGAAATCTGTGCATGCTTTGATGTCGTTTGAAATCAACCGCAAGGCGGCGGGGGTGCGTTGTTCGAACAATTCCCCCATTCTACCCGGTCTTTTCGAGTTGCGTACACAATATGGATTGTCTCGCCGTGCTGTAGGTAGGAGAGAGAAGACATATGGTTCGTAGATACACGTCGCAAATGCGATTCTTTTGGCATCATCGAGGTTGAAGTTCGTGCCCAAAGATCCGACGTGAATGTGGGTCCCGGATGATACATTCATCTGAACTTTGAACACAATCCTCAAAGACTCCCAGAACAATTTAATTTGATCTCTGTAATTTTCATTCAGCGCCATTTTTGGCGAGACAGCTTCCAAGCTCACTGGGAAGGTTGTTAGTACCATGTTCAGATGATTTGCACTTTGGGAATCACGAAATGCTCTACTTACCTTGTGGCTCCACAGCGTGAAGAGAGGCATCAGTTGTGATGAACCATTTATCATAGTGATCGGGCCGGCTTCGGTTGACAGTAGAATTGTCAACTACTGCTCTAAGATCTCTGTTCTCCAAGGCTTGTTGAAGTCTGTCGTAATACTGCTGAGGCGTCCAACCTTCCCTTACTTTCCAAGGCTCGCCAACAACCTCGATCTCGACCCCGAAAGTAAGCCGTCGTAGAGGGGTAGCCATGATGTAAAACTACCTCAAGAAGTTCAATTATGGATAGAAAACGTATGTGAGGATTGTGAACCTGAACCTCTCCCTATACTCACAAGTTCGAGGGGAGATTGTGATTGCCATCCTAGCCATTACATATGAGGCAATTTAGGACGCGAGACCAATGCCAATAGTACTTGGTCGCTTCATGCACTTGCGCCCTAGCAAGGCCAAGCATTTTTTCGTGTTGTAGATAGTAGTAGCTTGGAAGGACTTTCATTGCAAGATACCATCGATGGGCTTAACGGGACGACTTAGTTGTCCGTTAACGAACAAATCACACATTTTGGACGAGCCGCAACAGATGCGAATGGAATGCGGACCAAATCACGAAGTCGTAGACTCGCTGGAATTCTCCTCAAGACCGCAAAGCCGGGCGACCGTTGTTTCAGATGAGACCACTCGTCGTCGTGTGCAACTGCAAGCCATGTGTAGGAAAGCGGGCGTAGCATGCAGCTAGTTGTTAGCTTGGTCACCTCTTCGAGGCGTTGTGCAGCGGCACCCTGCAAACACTGCGTGGCAAGCCAGACGTCCAGCCAGTCTAGGCTCCAGCTGCTCCACGCAAAACTCTCCTACGAGGTGCAATGAAATGGGGGTCCCGGTGATTTTTGATAAAGCTCGCAGCCGTGGCGTGGCGTCTTTGAAAAATTCCAGCCTTTCGCAAACCTCACGACAGCAAGAAAACACGATGTTTTCCACGCAGTTGGGAAATGGCCAAGCGATGTATTTTGCATATGGTAGTAATCTCCAAATGAAGCAGATGGCGAAACGCTGTCCAGAGAGCCGCTTGATCGGTCCTGCGACACTTCACAATTATCGATGGCAGATCAACGAGCGGGGTTATGCCAACGTTGTTGCAGATAACCTTAGTTCCGTCGAAGGAATCTGTTATCTCCTCAGCGACAAAGATGAGGCCAGATTAGACCGCAGTGAAGGTGTCCATACGGGGGTGTACGAGAAAGAAGAGCTTCATGTAGAGCTAGTCTGCGCACCGGTAGCTTTTGTGGGCCGAGACGTTGTGCAGATTGTAAACGATGGGAGCCTCGATACACTTTACAGAAATGTCGAAGAACAAGACAGATGGACTGACAACTATCGGAGATCGAGTTCGGTGCCAGTCGAAGGAAGATGGAGGACAACACTGGATAGGCATAGGAAACAGGGTAGCGAGTTTGCGAAAGCCTTGGTCTATTTGAGCACGCTGTACACGATGGACGGTCCGCCTCGAGACGAGTACATTGATCGTATGAACTTGGGCCTGGTTGATGCACTTGCGTTGGGTGTGTCGCGACGTTTCGTTAACAACACCATCAAGCCACGGATCAGCATAGAGCCTAGCCAAGGGCCCAGAGGAAGGAGCACGATAGATGCCAGACCTAGAGGTCCAAGAATCAGAAAGAAGACCCATGGACGGAGGACTCATCCTGCATCACGGGTTGAAGCGATTCATGGTGATGGGTATTATTTGGGGCCGCATGACCAGTATATGAGCACTCCGTGATCTGCATACTCGGGTTCAGGAGGCAAGGAGAGGTGCCAAGGAAAAGATCTTGATAGTCTTTAGGATGGACCAGTCCGCCGAGGTCAACACACAGCGCTACTTGGCTAGTTATAGTATAGATAATAGCGGCCTAGCTAGTTCACAAGCACTTATATCTTGGGAGTATGGGAAGACCTTTTTGGTAAAGGGAATTAGCGAACTTCTTGGTGAAATAGTTGATGGACTAGAGGCTAAGGGCAAAGAGGGAAGCGCGGCAAGCTAGCTGGGGAATGCATCGTAAGTCTAGTTGTTAGGATCCGAGGCTGTGAGGCATTCATGCTCCGAGATTGTTAGATTTTACTGTCATTACGAAGCAAACACGAATTTTCCCCCAAGCTGCAATCCCATCTCTGTATACTGTTCTACCTTGATTTCCCGGGGGGGGGATTCTTTCTTCTCCTTTTTCTTGGCTAACTCTAGATAATAGAGAAAAGGCATGAGAGAAAATATACGTAAGGAAGATGTAGGAATATCCCGGAACTTCTAGTACATTAACGGTTCAAAATAATATTATAGTTAGAGTTTTCAAGTCACTAAGTCACTAAGTCTCTCGAGGTGAAATTTTATCCATGCTTTAAATGGGGAATAACCCCCTTTCTTTGTCCTCGCTCGGGCTAACCTTCGCTTAACCTCGCGTGCGCACAACCTCCATGAGACAACCATGAGACAACAAATCATGCTTCAATTACTGACCTACCTAGACAAAATATAGAGTGCTTACCCTCGCTTAATATGCGTAGCTGAGACCTCGGTTTTCAACAAAGAGATGTTCAGCTAATATGTGAGAAGATGCATGAGTTGTCAAAGAAGTGACGAACAAAGACAATTTTGGGATGGACTCACGAAAACTTCTAACTGGTTAGAGTTTGATATTCATAACCCTCGGTAAACAATATATATTCCCTCGCGAGTGCGCGTACTGCCGCGGTAGTAAAAGAGTAATATAAAATTACACTCAAGTACAGAATTTACTTCCAAGACATACAGATACTCAAAAAGACAACCCGAAAGTGGCAAAAATTAGTTCTACAGTGCGAATGGGGCTCAACCGGGATTTGAACCCGGGGCCTGTCACATTTTCTCCTCTCTCGAGGGGCAAGATAAAATCTTCCCGAAGCGACAATCATACCACTAGACCATTGAGCCTTTTTGCACGTTGTAGCCCAAATTTTGCTTATATCAGCTTATACGAGCGGTAGCAATTTAGGCTGGATGAGGCATGGCGTGAGGTGAGATGGACAGTATGGTTGGTGGATATAAATAACTTAAGGCTACGGGCCGAGGTTTACCCGCAAGAGATCTTGGATTATGGGCATGTAGTTCTGGTTACTGTTGGGCAGGACGAGCATCAAGATATGAAGGAGTTGTGGAGGGATGTTATGGTCTAAAAGGCTTTTTATTCGTTCTCAATCCATCCCATCCAACCCAAGAAAACTCTAAAGTACAATTTCCTCCCCTTATTCCCTCATTATTCGTAAACTACAACTTCCCCTTCCCACTCTCAACCAGCTCACAAGCGGCAGCGGCAATAGCCAACTTCCCCGTCTCCTTGACCTTGCTCTGGAAAATAACCTTATTTCCCTCCTTCCAACACTCCGTAACCAGCGTCTGGCCCGGCAGCACGGTACCAGCAAACCGTACCTTAATATTCTTGAACGCACCATACTTCTGATACACCGCCTTGCCCGCAATACCAAAGAAGCACAATCCATGAAGGATAGGGGCCTTGAAGCCACCCATCTTCGCAAAGGCAGGGTCGACGTGCAGCGGGTTATAGTCGCCGGAGAGCCGGTAGAGCACGGCTTGCTCCTCAGTGGTCTTCTCTTCGGATACGTAGTCGGCGGGACGGGAGGGTGGCTTGTTGGCTGCGGTCGAGGCCCCGCGATCGAGAGGCTTCTTGACACCGCCGAAGCCGCCGCTACCCCGGATGAAAACTGTGCTCTCGTTGTAGAAGAGCGGCTTGCCGGTCTCCTTGTTCACGGTTGTGATTCCTGATTTGACGATCGCGGCATTTCCTTTATCGACGACTTCTAGAAGCTTGACGTAGGAGACGAGGGTCCCAGAGGTGGGGATCGGGTAGGAGCGGATCTCGAGGTATTGCTCACCGTGAAGCAGCATCATGGGACTGAAGTTTGGGACAATGTCCGCGATGTTGTAAGGTGATTCGGCGGAGAAGAAGGGGATAACGCCGAATGTTGGAAGGGCTTGGAAATCCTCATTCCCTTCACTACACACATCACTATTAGAGAAGAGTTCAAGAGAGGAAAAATGGTACATACAATACATAAGGCAAGTCGGTCTTCTTTGCACCGATGCCGAGATTGTAGAGAATTACGTCTTTCTCCTCGTATTTGAATGATGTGCCGTTTGCTTCTGCCTTCTTCGCTTTCTCGATGTTGGCAAGGATCTCTTCGTTTACTTCACCAGCTGGTTCACTCTTCTATGCAGCAAATAAGTTAACTAATATTCGTATATTCGTGGAAAGTAAGTACAACTACAAATGTGCAAGACATCTATTTCCGAGTTGGGTATGATGGTAGAGAATCTCATACCTTACTCGCGCCACCCTTCTTGTTGTTCATGTTTGCCATAATGCTCTTCAATCCGTCTTGACCGTCTTGAGGATTGTCTGCGCGTCCGTCATCAAAGTCTGTAATTCTCTTCCATTGCTGCAGGACTGCCTCAGGAGTAAGCTTTTCATCAACTGGGAAGCCGTGTCCGCCCGTTCGTTGCCAGCGTGTTCGTCCAACCCAACCGCTGCCGACTTCAAAGAGGCCTCCAGTGGGATCCTTGGGAACTTTATCGGAGCAGAGAGCTACAACGAGTGGTGCTATGTAGTCTGGCTTGAAAGCTTGGACCATTTCCTCGGGCAGAATTGTTCGAGTCATGGCAGTACCAGCATTGGGAGCAATGGTGTTGACATAGATGTTATATTTGGCTCCCTCACGAGCTAGCGCACGGGAGAAGCCAAGGATACCGCATTTCTAGACTCATTAGCTGGAGCAAAAGATCAGGACATTGTACTTACGGCTGCAGCATAATTGGCTTGTCCAAAATTGCCATAAATACCACTGGTTGAAGTGGTGTTGACAATTCGTCCATACTTCTGCTTAAGCATATATGGCCAAGCGGCCTTTGTAACTTTATATGTGCCTCGGAGATGGACTGCGATAACTTGATCCCACATCTTGTCGTCCATGTTGGTAAAAGCCTTGTCTCGGAGAATGCCAGCATTGTTGATAATGATGTCGATCCGGCCATATGCATCAATTGCAGCCTTCACAACAGCATCGCCATCTTCAGCTGAAGCCTTGACACCGACTGCCTTGCCACCGGCCTTTTGGATCTCTTGAACAACGGTATCAGGGTCCACCAGATCATTGACAACGACTGAGGCACCATATTTAGCAAATGCTAAACAGTAGACGCGGCCAATACTAGCAGGATATGTTAGTAATTATCCAGACCTCTCAGACAGGCTTCACTTACCCAGCACCACCACCAGTAACTAGAGCTACCTTGCCCTTGAAATCAAGAGTCTCACCCTTGTCATTGGGGCCCATCTTCATCGATTTCTCGAGCAGACCCATGAAATCTGCAACACCGGTAGGATACTCAGCATTCTTGAAGTTGCTGACTTGGTCCCACTTCTTCAAGATAGCACCAGGGGTATATGTATCGTCTGCCTTCAGGAGGAGACCGCTTGAACGCTCCCATCTCAACTTCGCAATATGTCCTCCTCCAACTTCGAAAATTGCTCCGTTCTCCTCAGCATCCTTGTGTACCAAAACTGCAACAAGAGGAACGACCCAATCTGGCTTGAGGTTTGCGAGAATATCGGGTGGCATAACAGTTTCGGTCATTCGGGAGGCAGCTGCTTTTATTAGCATGTGATATTCTCTGATATATCGAATACATACCAATTGGAGCAATAACATTGGCGTGAATATTGTACTTGGCACCCTCCTTTGCGAGCGTCTCCGTGAATCCAACCATAGCCAACTTAGCAGCTGAATAATTGCATTGTCCAAAGCTACCAAAGAGACCCGCCGCAGAAGCAGTATTGATAACCCGTCCATACTTCTGCTTTCTGAAATGTGGCCACGCAGCCCTCGCACACTTATATGAGCCCTTGACATGTACCGCAATAATCAGATCCCAGTCCTGGTCTTTCATGTTCTTGAAGCTGATATCTCGCAGGATACCGGCGTTGTTGATCAGCACGTCAATGCGGCCGTAGTTCTTGATGGCGGTTTCGATAATCTTCTCGCCATCCGTGACGCTGTCATAGTTGGCTACTGCTTTGCCGCCCGCGGCTTTGATCTCATCGACGACGACATCAGCGGCCTTAAGCAATGTTGGTTAGCCATTGTCCAATACTTGGATAGAACATTGGGGCATAGCTACCTTTGTAGAGTTTCCCTCACCCTTGAAAGATCCTCCTAGGTCATTGACAACCACACTTGCACCCCTCGATCCAAAGAACAGCGCATATGCTAACCATCAAGTTAGTATAGGAGTTTCCTAGAGTATGGGAATATGCTTACCTTTCCCCAGTCCTCCTCCAGCACCGGTCACTACGACGACCTGGCCATCATATCGTAATTCCGACATCGTCAATCGTTATGTTGATCCAAAATCTAATTCGGTCTTTGGAGTAGAAGTATAAGGGAAGGTGAGGAAGAAGGAGGAAGTAAAGAAGAGGGAAGAAGTGGTTCCGGCTGTTGCTCTGTCGGTTCTGTCGCATGCCTCGGTTCGATTGAACCGCTTCCCATGACGAGAAAACCCCCGGAATTGCCCCACATCTGCCGAACGCCTGTGCCATTTCACATGCAAAGCGCTCTGCTCCAGGTTTCTGCTGTTCACGTGGATCGACAGCCTCCACAGCTGTGTTCCAGTGCGAATAATCACCAAATCACAGGACTCATTTTGTAATCAATCTTACTCTTCAATTACTTTGCCATGTGAAAGAAACCTCTAGGAAAGCTCAATGCCTCAGGCCCCACATGCAGAGCTTCTTCTGGCGGGGAAGCAAAACCCGAAGTTCTCCCCTCTTACGGAATCTCTCCGGTCTTCGAAATCCCGGGTACAGCTCCCTTCTTCGCCATGAACTCAAGATATCAACACGCCATTGCGCCCTTCAATGGGTCTGCACAACTGCCAAAATGTCGTCCAGCACAGCTTCTGCAAATGCTGTCCCCAATGCTACCTCCACTTCCGCCCTGAATCCCGTTCCTCGACCAGAGATAATTGACGACAAATCCCCACACTGTATCCCCTTCATCCTACGGCAACTCTCTCTCCACACCTCACAAGAGCTATTCGTAATAGGCCTCAACGGCGTCCAAGGCGCCGGGAAAACAACCCTCGTCTCAACCCTCTCCTCCCTACTCAGCGCGCCGCCCTACTCCCTCCCCGTTCTCGTTTGCAGCATCGACGACTTATATCTCACGCACAATGACCAAGTCACCCTCGCACAAACCCACAGGGATAATCCCCTCGTGCAGCATAGAGGCGAGCCGGGGACGCATGATATGGGATTGGCAAGAGACTTATTCGAGGCGTTGAAGGAGGGACGGGAGACGAAGGTCCCAGAGTATGATAAGAGTGCCTACAATGGACAAGGAGATCGGGTTTCCTCTGAAAAGTGGAAAACAGTCAACACACCTGAGCAAGAAAAAATCCGCGTTGTGATTTTCGAAGGCTGGTGTGTCGGGTTCCGCTCTCTCACCCCGAAAGAAGTAGAAGAGAAGCAGGCTGGAGAAAGCGTGACGTTAGCCAGGCACAGGTTGGAAGATTTGTTGTTTGTGAATGAGAAGTTGCGGGAGTATGAGGTTTTGAATGAAGCTTTTGACGCATTCATACATATTGATGCTGAGGAGACGGGGTTCGTGTATGCGTGGCGGCAGGAGCAGGAAGAGGTTTTGCGAAGGGAGAAGGGGACGGGTATGAGTAGGGAGGAAGTAGAGCGGTTTGTGGATGGGTATTATCCTGCTTATGAGCTCTTTACGGATAAGCTCAGAGAAGGACTATTTAGTGGACGAAAGGATGGGAAAGGAAAGCAGTTGAGGTTAGTTGTTGGCAGGGATAGGAGGGTAAAAGAGATTGTTGAGATTTGAAAGATGGAAGGAGATATCACAGATGAG